GAGATTATGTAAATAAATGCAATGTAGTCTTAAATGAGCTTTTCTTTTTTTTAAAGGACTTAGTTTTCTTCTTTTTTACACACTCATCTACTGAGGGACACTTGGGCTGCTTCCATATCTTGGCAGTTGTAAATAATGCTGCCATGAACATAGAGGTGCCTATGTTTTTTTGAATTGTTTCTTTGGGTTCCTTTGGATATATTCCCAGAAGTGGGATAGCTGGGTCAAAAGGTAGATTCATTTTTTAATTTTTTGAGGTTTCTCCATACTGCTTTCCACAGTGGTTGTACCAGTCTGCATTCTCACCAATAGTGCAAAAGGGTTCCCCTTTACCCTTCATGACAGTATGGATGGACCTGGAGAACATTATGCTAACTGAAATAAGCCAGTCAGAGAAAGACAAATACCATATGACTTCACTCATATGTGGAATCTAATGAACAAAACTGAACTATCAGAGAAGACAGGGACAGACTCATAGAGAGCAGGATGACAGCTGAGGGGGTGGATATGTTAGGGGTGGAGGGATTGAGCAAAAAGGAAAAGGACTCATGGACATGGACAACAGTGTGGTGATTTCTGGGAAGAGGGAAATATAGAGGGACTAAATGGTAATGGAAAAAATACAACAAAAATAAAAATAAAAAGGATTAGGCTCTGTTATTGCCTCATAGAAGTATAAATTATATATTATAAATTATGTCTTCTTTTTATATATTCAGTTTCTGAAGTCTTGTTTTTCCTCTTGCTCAGAGGCAACTTTCTAGGTGCTGGGGGGTAGGCTGAGCTGAAAAATGGAACACGGGTGGGATTCCTCTTCTATGTCTTATTTACCAGGTGTTTTTAAAAATCTGATTGCCTTTGATAGAAGTGTGGTATTACTTAATCTGTGCATTACTTAATCAGACAGTGGCTCTCCTTTTAAATAAATTAATGGATTATTTTTTGTAAAAGCACTATTAAGTTTACAGAAAAATTGTGCAAAATGTACAGAGTCTCCAAATTGGCCTCTCCTTCCCCTCCTCCCCACTTCCCCTATTATAGATACCTTGCATTAGTGTAGTACATTTGTTACAATTGATGAGCTGATATTGATGCATTATTAATTAAAGTCTGTATTTACATTAGGATTTACTCACTGTATGTTCTGTGGGTTTTGATCAATTTTGAATGACATGTATCTACTTGTACATATCACACAGGATAGTTTCACTGCCCTAAAAGTCTTCTGTGCTCTGCCTGTTCATCTCTCCCTGACTCCAACTATCCCCATAGTCTTATCTTTTCCAGAATGTTGATAGTTTGAGTCACAGAGTATGTAGCCTTTCAAACTGGCTTCTTTCACTTAGCAATATGCATTTATGATTCTCTCATGCCTTTAATGTATTGATGGCTCATTTAATTTTGTTTCTCAATGATATGTCATTGTATGGATATACCACAATTTGCTTATCCATTCTTCTGGACATCTCGGTCCAGAGATGACATCTCTGTCGCTTCTGGTTTTTGCAATTATGAAAAAAGCTGCTGTAAATATTCATTAGTAGGTTTTTTGTGAACATAGTTTTCAACTCACATGGACAAATACCAAGGGGAAAATCTGTCCTTTTTTTTTCAATAAAGCTTTTACATCTGGTATTAATATCTTGATACATAATAATTTGCCCTTTTTTTAATAAGACTTCTTTTTAAGATTTTATTTATTTATTTTTAGAGAGGGAAGGGAGGGAGATAGACAGAGAGAGAGAGAAACATCAATGTGCGGTTGCTGGGGGTTATGGCCTGCAACCCAGGCATGTACCCTGGCTGGGAATCAAACCTGGGACACTTTGGTTCCCAGCCCACGCTCAATCCACTGAGCTACGCCAGCCAGGGATAATTTGCCCTTAATAGCTCGCTCCCATGCCCTCTCAATTACTTTCCCTTAGTACCACTGCAGTTTCTGCCACACATGAGTAATGGGAATGCCAGATATATGTCAACAATGTTGTCTCCAATAAACATGAAAGTGTTTGAAAATCTTATAAGGACTGTCTTGTACACTTGATATTCATGATAGATGTGGCCTAGGAAATAGCCTGTGTATTGTTTCCACAAGTGGATGTTAATGCACCTGATAGTTATTCCTACCAAAATGTGCTGCCTTTTCACTTCTGGTTCCTATAGTCATAGCCATATGTAGAGAATAATGACTTCAGAGGTCATATGCTCTGAAAATATGTTTGATATTGGGAAAATTTCTTAGCCTTCCAGATCCTCAGAATCCTGAGAAATGGACAATAACATCCACCTTGCAAGGCAGTGTTGAGGGTTGGAAGGGATGTGAATAAAGCCTGGCACATTGAGGGCAACCTGTTAATACTGTGATGCGGTGATGTTTGTACAGCAAACATACAACCAAGGAGAAAAGGGTGCTTTGTGCTTCAACAGGGAACTTTTATCTGAACAGTAAGAACGGTGACCAGGTCACATAAGCATGTCTCCCAATAGTCTCCTTTCTGTTAATGTCCACTCACACCTGAGAGCGTTCAGAGCTGTCTCCTTGCCATTGCTGACTCTCTTACTGACCTGCCAGCAGGGTTTCCTCCCATCCAGCGGTGTCCCCTTAGGATCTAAGTGTTTAATAAATGAGCATTTTATTTCTTTGTCCATTCTTGTTTCATATCTATGGCCTCCCTTCTTCTCCATGACGATGTGAGGCTTCCTAATTATCACACGAAGCTTTGGTACATGTTCCAGTCCACCAAATTTGTTGCAATTCCTTCTTTTAGGACACCCCCAGAATATTTGGTGACTGGCCATTCGTTAACTGGTACTCATAAACTATTTTTTTGCTGTTGTTAGTCAACTTGAACTTAGGGAACCATGAATTCTACTTCTTGAACTCCACCCAGTGTCCTGTCACATATAGCTGTTCAATGAATGAATTCATTAATTTAATTCAACCCTAGAAACTAAAAGGTGTTTTTCAGCTCAAACCCATAAAGTTTTAACAGATTTCTGAACAACTTTAAAAATAGGAAGAATGCTTATTTGCCCAAGACAGTTTCAGCTTTATCTGGAAATAAGAATGTAGGCTTATTAGATATCTCTGAAAGTCCTTTCAAAGGGGGCGGCTCTGTCCATTGATTTGCTATGTGGGTAATCCTGATTTGTCTGTGAATTAGCTGGGTTTTATCTTTCATAACAGTCACCAGTCTCAGCTTCCACCACAGCCATGTTGAGTCTGTCATCTCTTAAGGGGCATGCATGACAATGTTAGCTCAGGTGATATGTAACTAGGAAAGTGTGCCTTTCTACAACCCCAAATAATATCAGAGATTCCAGATCCAAACAGAATATAGTGGTGCATTATTTCATATTTGTGTTCCTGTTATTCTCCTCTTTACAGCTAGATATTTGACTGTCCTCTAAGCCAGAGGTCCTCAACCTTGGGGCCATGGACTGGTACCAGTCCCAGCCTGTTAGGAAACTGGATGCACAGGAGGAGGTGAGCTTGAATGTAATGCATGCTTGAATCATCCCGAAACCATCCCCTCTGCCCCCAATCCATGCAAAAATTGTCTTCCACAAAACTGGTCCCTGGGGGCCACTGCTCTAAGCCACTTCTATTGCTGTCACCTGTAAAACTGGCAGTGAATGTTGCTTAAGGGGAAGGTTATTAGCAAGGGTAATAATGTAGGACAGTTTATTTGTAGGACACTCATTCTGAGTCTTGAGTCTGAGTGAGGTCCAGAAAGCAATGGAATAAATATTCCATGTGCCCCCCCCCCCCGCCCCCACAGGACTTCTGCTGCCCCCAGGGTCTGTTTCTCCTGTGAGGGTTGGAAGCTGCCTGGCAGAGGCCAGCTGAAATCAGAGAAATCCTGACTTTAGCTGTTTCAGAAAAGTGACCCCAGTATTTGAGGAATGATGAGGACCGAATTAAATATGAATAGAAGTCTTGGACTAGTTCCCGTTTTCCTCCATGACGGGTGTTCACTGGTACAACTGTTATTTCTGTGATTATCGCTCTATACATTTTGACCAACACTTGGAATGCTACCTCTGGGCAACTTAAATGACAGGCTGTTTTCCAGGATGAAGTAAACTGGTAGAAACTTCCATTGTTCATCAGATCTGGTGTAAACAGTCTGCCTGAGCTGGATGTTTTGGGGTCCTGGGTGTACTTCTGAAGAAATAAGTGCTATTGCTGCTCCGAGTAGAGAGAGGTCAAGGAGACAGCGAATCAATACTTCAGACTTTTATTTTCTGTCACTGTGTGAGAAGATAGCCTACACCGTTCAGGAAGGAACAGCAGTCAGCTCTGCTGGATTCCCACTGCTTCCCAGATTTTGCACTATTAGCTTATTTTTTCCAACACGGTTCTATAATAACAACCCACTCCTTTCCCTGCTCTCCTGGCCCCTCATGATATTTTTTTAGGCACGTGCTGAAAGAAAAGGTGTCTGTGCACACTGTTCCTCTTCATTTGGCTCCAGGGATTTCCCTTTGATTTGGAAAGAATAATCTTTCAAATTCCGCTATAAAATACACAGGCGAGAGAAAAAAGATTACGCTCCAGGAATGAGCACCAGTGTTGACATTTAGTTCAAAGAATGAACTGAAGGTAAATTTTCTGTCATATTGCTCAGGTGAAGGATCAATTACTGTAAGACTGAATTATCAGCAGTGTTGCTCACCACGGATTGTACACCGTGGTTTAACTTTGTCTCCATCCTTCAAGATACTAAAACACAGCTAACATTCAGCAGGTACCTGCAGAACACGAGGAGCAACTCCACGGCGCCCTAATTGCTCTCTCCCTGGTTCTGCCCAGAATATTTATGGTGAGTAGCCAGTTATCTCTTCTTTGGCAGCCGGCCCTGCTTTCCTGTGGGGTGGAATTGCCTGCATTCGCATTTGCAAACAGAGGCTCACTCAAGTGTCACTAAAGGAAGAGGAGGTGGAGCCAAAAGGGCTTTAAAAAGGAAAGGGGAGTCATTCCACTTTTCAAAAAGAGAAACTGTGTTTGGGGAGGAATCGGATCTTCATATTTCTTCTTTCAGCTACATCAAGGGTCGTGGTTGGAACTTTCCACCAATTCTTTCCTTTTTTTTTTTCTCTCCCTCGAGCCTTTACCGCTACTCTCTCCGTCTGTCACAGTGAAGTCAGCCTCCAGAGTATGCAGGTTAAATTTCGAAATGTATCATAAGGATGTCAGGTATTTCTTACTAGTTTCCCAAAAACTTAGATAAAGAAATCTTTCCTAGAGTGTCCTTTTCAGGTTGCATTTGGACACTGTCTTGAGTTGAAGCAGAAGGAGGTGGAGGGCGACAGCAAAGGGCCCAGAAAAAAATGCCCCAGGGCCACAGGCCAAGCCCGGTGAGCGTGCCTGGGGTCGGACACACACACCTTGCTATGCTCCACCAAAGTCAAGTTATTTTCTATTGAAAGTGCAAGCCCGTCAAGATCATGCTGTTCTTCCTTGTCATTCTGTTGCCAGTAGCTTTGAAATTCAGTTTTGTTAGTCTCTCAGCACTGCAGCCCCGGAACTGCCCCTCGGGAGATGGGGATTCTCCTTGTGCGGGTAAGTAATTCCACTAAAGTGAATTCACGTCTTGCTGGAACTGCCCTTAGCTACCTGTTCATTTTGTCTTGTAAAGTTGGGTATTTTTTTCTGATTTGTCTTTGGGAGTGTATATTTGCTTAATTTTTGTTTTCTAATGTTTGTGTAGTTTCTTACTGGCTGTTAGAGCTACTCTGCTACCAGCTATAAAAATTCTTGGTTCTCAGACTGTGTGGGGGTAAATGTGTTTCATTTTAAACTAGATGAACATTTCTTTTCATGTCTTTATTATGACATAAGTAGTAACTAAACACTTAGTTGATCAGCTTTTTATTGGAAGCTGGGGAAACAGATGGTGCTTTTTTAAAAACTGTCTCTCCTTAAGGCATAAAGAAAAACACTCTCTAATAACTGTGTATGAGGACTGAAAAGTTGCTAAAAAAATCAGTGAAAAAAATGGATGAGAATTGGGAACAAACGTGATTCTATTCTGAAAGCCAAACCACGTTTCACCTTACACCTCCTGCCCTGCCCTCCCCTTCTTCCCCTTCTGAAGCTCTGACCCTGCTCCAGGTTTTCAGTAACAGGTGCATTGTAACTTGGACAACTGCTAAGAAATGACAATATGCCACATGCCCCTCCCACATTAAGTGGGCTTTTAATTCAGGAGAAGGAATAATAAGCATTCAGGAGAATGCAAAATAAAAATTCGCTTGAGAGCATTGCCTGAATAAACTTTTCTCTCTCTCACTTTTGATCCATTTTTATGGCAGCCATTTCTATCCGGTTACAGAGTGTGAACTGTCCTGACAGTCCTTTCTTGTCATTTTGCCCTTTTGAGAAGGGATCTGGCTCTCCACAAGAGGTAAACTGAGGAAATCACAGTCAAGTGTCCAGGAGAAAAATCTCTGGAGGACAGCACCGAGCAGTGGGAGTGAAGACTCTGAGCCAGGGTGTTCTGAGTGTTCTGAGCCAGACTGCTGGCACTGGGCTCCTGCCCTGGCTCCGCATGAAGGAAGTCACCAGGGAGGAAGTCAGGTGTCCTTGCTCTGAATCTCAGGACTCTGTCTCCAGGCCATGCCCTAGAGCTTGTCTAGTGCCTTACTGGCTGTTAGAACGGACCGGGTGGGCAGAACCCGAGGGTATCGGAAGAAAGGGCTAAATTCTCACAATCTCTATGGCCACAGCACCGGAAACATTTCCACGTTTGTGTTAGGTACTCAGCAAAGTCTTGCTGAATGAATGAGGAGGCTTTCCTTGACCTGCTCTTCACAGAGTTTTAGAGAATAGCAACAAAAGGGAGTGACTAGAGACAAAAATGACCTTCTGAGCCCGTTGCTCAGCTTTTGGAAGCAGAAGTAAAAACTTTTGGACACAGATGTGTCAAACGGACTGGACCCTCCCTGGGCTGGGTGAACTGTCCCGAGAGTAGGTGGCCAATGACTGCCATTTGCATGGGACATGAGGGGAGATGGTGGGAGCCACCCAAGGAACAGAACTTGAGAGGGAAAAAAACTCCATAGAAATGAACTTTTACACATAGCTTTAGAGTCTCTGGGAACAACCCAATTCCCGCTCGAAAGTGAGCTTGTGCTCCCCACCACGCCTGCTGGTGGCTCAGAAGTGCCCTTATGGGGCTGTATGCCCCAGATAAACTTGAAGGCCAGGGCAGAGACAGGGAGTTAAGGGGATTGTGTCAGAGTGGTAGAAACACAGGTTTTAGAAGCAAATACATCTCATTTCAAATCCGTGCTACCCACTTAATACTTGAGTTATACTGGAATACTGTGGGGAATAATAACACCTCCTCTTTCGGGACTGTTGCAGGGATCACATGAGATACCACGTGAAATGCCCCTAGCACAGAGGCTAACAGGCTGTGCTCAGTAAATGTCCTCTTGGCTCCACGTCTTGGCTAAAGTTCTTTGATCCCGTCACACCCTCAGATGCTTCATTTGAACAGTGCAATGACATGGCAGAGACCTCACGTGGTGTGGAATGTCTGGATGCCACTTTGTGACTCTGCCTCTTTGCTCCCTTGATCCTTGCGTGTCACTGGTTTAAACCACCTACTTTACACTCCGAGTCTCATGTTAGCTGATAACTGCCTGGGTCATACCCTGTGCCCCTTGCATTTCAGAGGATATTATTTCTCCTTTTTAAATAGATATGGTGCCATCATCACCCCCTCCACCAGTAAGTTCTGCTTGCCTTATTTCTTGCCCTTGGCATTGAGACAGACCGCCTCTGGCCTGCCTGACCCAGCAGAAAGAATGCTTTGTGGTCTGACAAGATTCAGGTAACTTTATGCAAGGTTGTCACTCATGTGACTGCTAGCCGAATAAACCAAGCGATAACACAGAATTGGGTTTTCTTTTCATTACCCCCCTCCCTGGTCCTCCTGCTTTTATAAAAAATAATCATCTGAGTATTCTGTCAGCTTCTGTTTGAGCTACAGTAGGCAAGAAGAGCAATAAAGAAAACTGCTGGCAAGTAGCTTCGGAACTAAGTCTATTTGCCCTGGAGGAGAAATAACAGGTGAAAAAAGGAACTGTTCCTGTTTGCTGTCTCTACCTGCATTATTTGTATGAACTTTCTTGGTAAAATAAAGGGTGAAGGAGAAGTACAGGCCACGCCTCAGAGAGCTGGCTGCAGGAGGGATTGTGGGGCACTAGGTTAGCCAGCTGACAGGCCTTGTGGTCCAGCACCTTCCCTGAGCCCCCCAACAATCCAGTACCCGAGAGAGGAAGGCAGGAGTGTTAATCCCCTTGGTGGAGGAGTGCCCTGATTGATCCCCTGGGGTGTGAAGCTGTAGCTTCCTGGTGGATCAAACAGGCTTATGCTCCCCAGTATTAAGCTCAGTGTTTCAGTCCCTTTGTTCCCGTTTCCTATTAATAATTAGTTAAATACTGACTGTAACACGTCTGGGTCAGAGTCTCTTCCAGGGGTGGAATCCAAGCATCATTTTCTTTGTTATTTTCCCTTGGTGATTCTGACAGGTATAATGGGCAGCCTCGGTTTCAGACCACTAAGTTAGCACGTGTAGAGTGCATAAAACAGAGCCTGGAATCTAATAGGCACTCGGGAAGCCTTAGCTACCATTAGCATTTTTATCATTGTTAAAATAATTTTTACTGGTGGTAATTGTACAAGTATTTTCCACATGTGGCTTGGTTTCCTCTATAATAATTGAACTATTTTTATACTTGGAAAATACCACATTGACAATTCTGAGATAGTTTTGCAATATTAAAAATTGTAGTCAAGATAATTTTAACATTCATAGCTTGTATTTTTATAGCTAGAAGTAATGTTTATTAAAAATACAAACACTTATCAAACCGACTTGAGTAAGTATCCTTGTGGGACTGCAGCCCCATTGTTTGCCTTTCTGGGACATCAACTGATAAAAAATTCCACTGACTGCAAACTAAATATGCTTGTAGCTTTCTTACTAGTAATAATTTTATTTGACAACAACAGCGAAAACAAGACACTTGAAAGTGATCATTTATATTTCATATATATTTTGCTTTATATTTGGAACCTATTTCTCTAAAATTTTTAGAAGATGTTGAGGGCCTATAAAACAATTCTTTAAATGAATTTCTATTTTGGAGCTACTTGGGAGTTTTCAAATATACGACATTCAATTTAGGAGTCAGACGGTGAGAATTCTTTGTGTTCAAAGTAGAGCAAATAATTGATCGTTTCCCCTTAAAATAATGAATGAGTACTTTGGTTTAAAACTTGCCTTTATGAATATCCATTTGAAATAATTTCTTGTTTAGTATTAATGTTTTTTATTTTTATATTAGTAGTCTCCAAACTCCATTCCATCTATAAAAAGTTAAAATATGGACACATATGCTCTCAATGTATGTTTATTTATCAGTTACATGTTATGTATACTACTATTATGAATATTACACTACACATAATATTTCTAATATTTTCCTTCCATTCAATAGTGAACCTTCTTGCAGTCAGTGAGTGGTACACATTCTACTTGGGAGAGACTGTTCTAGAGAAATAATAAAATGATGGAATAAATGCTTTATCTTTCTCAGCTGTTAGCTCCTTTCACTTAGGCCAGAAGAGATAAGCAAAAAGATTGACTTTTCTTTCTTCTTTTTCCTAAGTAAAGGGGAGTTCTTCATAGGGAATGACTTTTCTCAGAGTGTATAATGGAAGAAATAAAATGGAAGAAATAAAATGGGAGAAAGACTCTCTGAGAGTCTTTCACAAGGACTAGAAGGAGAGACCACACTCCTAAAGATGGGCTGCAGTTTCAGAAATTCCAGGCTCCTTGGTGCTGGAGTCACCGTATCTTAGGATTTTAAAAGAAAAATGGCCTGTGCCTTCATGCTGTGTCCTGAGGAAACCCTGTGTCTCTCCTAAGACGAAGGATTTTTGGATGTGGGAATGCTGACATAAAAGGGGAAGCTCTTGTGTTCCTGCTGGTTCTTCCACTGAATTGCTGATCTTTTATGTGCCTTGCTTCCGCCCTGTGCCATCCCTTCCCACACTTCCCAACCTCATGCTGACACCACCCTGGTTCACTTCTCTAAAGAGCCAGTGCTATGAATCGTGAGGGGTCAGATTTTAACTGAAAGTTTGGGGCCAAAAAAAAAAAAATCCTGGCCACACCCTGATCCAGCACATCAAACAACTAAAACTATTTTTCATTCTTGTTCTTAATTCATTTTTGTTCTTAAATTTTAAGTGATTGTTCTCTGTGGGAAGACTTACCAGCCATCTCTCTCGGGTGCCAGCCTTCTGCCTTCTTGGCTGACCTTGGTGAGGTTGACCTACACCGAGCCCTCTTTCTGGACCCCCTTGATCTGTTTCAGATGACCTACACACATACAGAACATTTTAGATTCTTTCCTCCTCCTCCAATTCTGTTTTCCTGATTAGATTCTGGGCCTCTTTTCTAAATAAAAAAAGAAAACCTAAAAATTACAAAATAGCATACTGAAGTGTTTTAATAAACAAAACCATTGTTTCTTGGAAGAAAA